AATAGCAGACAATTGTTCAGACTCGTTAAGGAAACCGGAATTAGGAACCCGACCGTTAGCGAAACAATCTCAGAGAAAGATGGACATATTATTCATTCTCAATCCAGGAGATTGGATCGATGGGCAGAACACTTTAGGGATCAGTTCAACTGGCCTTCAGCCACACTTCGGTTTCCCACGATCTCTAGTCAACCTGAATGGCAAGTTAATGTAGGTCCTCCGTCCCTTTACGAAGTTGAAAAAGCCATAGGAAATCTGAAACGAGGGAGAGCAGCAGGCCCTGACAGGTTTACTCCTGAGATTTTTAAGGATGGTGGTCCAGTATTAGCAATGAGATTAACTGAGGTCTTAGGTAGAATTTGGGAACTGGACGTAATCCCATCTGACTGGTCTCAATCACTGATTGTGCCAGTTTATAAGAAAGGACAAAAGTCCTCTTGTGACAATCACAGAGGAATCAGTTTGACTAATATAGTGTCTAAAATATTAGCTTCAATAATACTTCGACGCCTAATCAAAGCTCGTGAAGAGCAGACTAGAGAAAACCAGGCTGGTTTTCGACCTGGACGTGGTTGTATAGATCAGATATTCACACTACGTCAGGTTCTAGAACACAGACACACATTCAGACGCCCCACAATGGTAGTATTTCTCGACCTTAAGGCGGCATTCGACTCTGTTGATCGTGAGGTTCTATGGCAGTGTTTGTCACTGAAAGGAGTACCAAAGAAGTACATTAACCTTATAAAGGCTCTCTACTCGAACACAACTGGTCGAGTGAGAGCTTATGGCGAACTGTCATCAGAATTGATTACCTCAAGTGGTGTTCGTCAGGGCTGTCCACTCTCCCCATTCTTGTTCAACTTTGTGGTCGACGTACTTTTAGAGATAACACTCTCCTCATCTAAATTTACAGGGGTTGAACTTCTACCGGGAGGTTCACTTGTTGACTTAGAATATGCTGATGACATAGTTTTATTTGGTGAAGACGCTGACAAAATGCAGAGTCTTCTGACCACTCTAAGCAACAATGCAAGCATGTTCGGGATGCGATTCTCTCCCTCGAAATGCAAAATGTTGCTTCAGGATTGGGTTACATCGACACCCGAACTAGTGATAGGGAGTGAAGTAGTTGAGTGTGTCGACCGCTTCACTTATCTTGGAAGTCTCATCAGCCCTTGTGGTTTAGTGTGTGACGAAATCTCAGCACGGATACAGAAGGCTCGACTAGCTTTTGCCAACTTGCGTCATTTATGGCGTAGGCGAGATATCCGTCTATCAACCAAAGGACGTGTTTACTGCGCAGCAGTTCGTTCCGTCCTACTTTATGGCAGTGAAACATGGCCGGTAAGAGTAGAGGATATCCGTAGGTTACTAGTATTTGATCATAGGTGTCTTCGAAACATTGCTCGTATATCATGGGACCATCGAGTAAGTAACACAGTTGTTAGGAAACGGGTACTAGGTAAGGATGGCAAATCAATTGATGAAGTAGTGAAACTTCATCAGTTGAGATGGCTGGGACACGTGTTACGTATGCCCAACGACCGACTGCCTCGACGTGCTATGTTCAGTGGTATAGGAGTAGGTTGGAAGAAAGCTAGGGGCGGCCAAACCAAAACATGGCACAAGTCCATGAAGTCACTGACAAGTGAACTGAGTCATGTTGGTAGGTGTAGACTACCTGGTTGGGGACCGCGAGATGATAGCAACCGATGGTTAGAGACCCTGAATGACATGGCTCAAAATCGTTTGCAATGGCGCAGGTGCATCCACTCTCTGTGTTCTCCCAAATTCTAATCTTCTGAATCCTTCATGTCCCTTTTTTCCTCTTTCCAAATTTATTTCACTGGATTATACTCTTTAAATAACATCTCCAAACCCTAATCTTCCCGATTACTGCTTATACTCTTATTACCTCTACCACTACGGGATTTGAATCGACAACTGCATCTCTGTGCTAATGTGGTGTGGCAACTCGAACTGATGTACGTACGTACGAAGTTCTACGTTGTTACTGACTGACTGACTGACTGACTGACTGACTGACTGACTGACTGACTGACTGACTGACTGACTGACTGACTGACTGAAACGTATCTGTCTCATTATGACTGACTCTGCACCATGTCATCCAAAGTCAAGCAATAATAACCTCACAAAAGCCAACCTCGTAAGCTGTACATATTAACATGACGCACATTAAGTCATGGACAGATGCCACTCTTTGACTTGGTGACCCCTACTTATCATCCAACCTCTTAAACCAATCAACATCCCGCGTTGATGCAGAAAGCGATACATATCGTAATCGCCTCTGTCGACGGAAAATCACAATATTTTCAACCGAATTCAGTTTTTGGATAGTATTCTGCGTTTGACCTCAAAACTGCTCACTTAATGGTCTAAAACAAGGCTAGTAAAGCTTCGAGGATACCTATAATCAAACAGTAATAACCTATGGATATCCGCTGTTTTTGAAGTCCATGTTTTAAAGCCATAAAGGAAAGACAGAGAGGACTATTGCGTAGTATACTCAACCTATAGCTGGGAAACAGACATCTCACCTACGCCATAAGTGATGCAAACTGCCAAAAACCAACTGAGCTTTCTGAGTCGGTGCCGAGATTTCGTTAGCCATCAACCTACTAGGACTAGTGAGACATCCAAGATAAGTGAAGTGATTACCATCCGTAGTTCAAGCGCTGATCCATACCAGTACCGAAATGACATTTTGCAACACAACTAGACATCATTTTATTAGCGTTTCATCGAACAGGACTGTTATTTAAGTATCCTAAGTCGAAGAATGAATCATCTAGCAAGTGATTAATTCCTGAAAAGTTGGAAGAAAGCGTTATCTCTAAAAGTGTGTAATCAACGAAACTAGATATGATTGAGTGAAGTAAGTAACCCAGACAAACACTAATTGAGATTCGCAGTTTCGACAAGATTTCTTCATAAGCTCTGACTCGAAAAATAGTATTCAAGTAAAGAGTCCCCACAAGGTTTATGTACTTTTTTGGTACATCCAATGATAAACACTGTCAAAGAAACTCTACAAACGGAGCCGAATGATGCTTAGAAGTTCGGAAATGCCTCTACTGTCAAGAGCCAGAAAGTATTCTTCTGTTCTAGAACGTGACAAGGAGTGAATACTTGGTAACACACCCACTTCCAGGTTTGAAACCACTCTGGTTTTCCCAAGTTTGCTGTTACCAAGCCCCAGATAAAGGAACGGGTAACTATAGAGGGCAACAAATTGGTCAAATCGGTTCCTGTATGACTATCACAAGAGGACTTTTGTCCTTTTTTATAATCTGGTACGATCAGCGAACGACAGCAGTCAGATGGGATTACGTTCAACTCCCAAACTAACTGATTATTGCTTTAATAGAAGCAGAGAATTTGCATACATTAGAAATGCTTCTTGCTTAATAGTTCATATCCATCAAAAAGTCATACTGTGGTGTACAAATATGCTAGCTAAGACCATTCTTTTATGTAAGTAGGAAAAGGCCTTATGAATAAGATTTCTTGGAGTTAAATCAATTTTCATACGACGAATTCCAGAAAGCACAGTCAGCTAAATTACAACCTGAAACAAACATGTATATGAGAAGAAGTGATTAAAAGTACCTAGTCATTATTTTGAATCCCGGCCCACCTACTCCAGGTTTTGTTTCCCCAGAAGCATATACACTTAGGATCACCATATCGAGAAGAGGAAAAAACAAGACGAAAAAAACGGTAGTATATATATATATATATATATATATATATACAGAATGCAGTTCGAAACAACTAGATGAAATTAAGAAACGATGAGTGTAAAATAACATCAAAACTCAAAATTCAGACGTCAAAGAATAAATACATCAGCCTGATTACAAATGATTCTGATCCCTATAACATAGGGCCACGATTTCAAGCCATAACTAAAACAAGAAACTCTAGGAACTTTAGCGTCATGTTCGATCTCACCCACTGAAGATACAACCCACGAACTCACAACTCATAAATATTTTAAGTGGATGAAAGTAGTATAAAATGTTCATCACATATTACTTCAAGATTTGCAGTAATCTCAGAACCTATAACGAGAAATCATACCAAGTAGACATATCTAACGGTTTATCGAGGTTACCTTGCACTTGAAAATCTTCCTAGGAATCTATAGGAAATCATATCTAGATAATGCAGGCGACCGGGTAATTACAAGTATTCGATTACAGCTAGTTTCAAGTCCTCACGTATCGTGAGAATACCGAGCGAATGATGTTGAAATCCTGTGACGCAAGATACAGTAAACCAGTTTGATGAGGTAGCAAAAAGATTAGTAACAGACGTATTACATGCAACAGCATTCAAGTGATTTATTTCAGAATAAGAAAAGCCACCTGGAGATATATGATTTAGAACCAAACGAAGGACAACTGGTTAGTAAAGCAATGGTACAATAAGAAGTTTAATCGAACCAAGGGAAAACTAGCTGAATGTGACAATCCTTTTAATTAGACTAAGAATATTAACGATCATGAAACAAAAAATCATAAAATAATAATGCTCAGCACATGAAGGATGAAAACAGAATGCACCTGGAAAACGCACCATATACAAACAGACTTATTTCAATAGTCTTAGTCAAAACTATGTCCCACACCATTAACTAGGAGTAAGTAACTTTAATTTGAATTCATCATGACGATTCCTCTACACTATTCATGCACTAAAGTTCGTTAGACGTTAGAGAACAAGTTGACTCCAGCTCTTTCGGCTTTATGTTGCAATACAGAAAATGGTGAAATGTACAAGTATGAATACAACTTTTCATATATTTAACTGCACGATGAACATAATCATTCAGCTATCTTTGATATCTTAATAAAGAGCTACGCAGTGCAAATACAACAACTAAGTAATTAAATGGACTAAAGATCTACAAATAGATAAACTAATCAGCAGTTTTGTCATTTTAAACAATATCATTAAAGGCTTACCTAAACCAACTATCCCAAGAGTATCACGTCGTATACGAGCAGACCCGTTTGCAACTTCCTTTAAATGCTCAGGTCCATTAATCCGTTTGCCCATTTGCAGGCTGTTTGCTAACCAATAAGTACGTCGGTATAAGGTCAGAATGTGGCAAAGTGTCGTATCTGCAGACTCCTCAACACCAAATCCAGGAACATTACAAACAGCAATTCCAAGTTCCCCAGCGGCTTTTATGTCAATGTTGTCATAACCGCTGAAAAGGAATATTAATTTATAGGTAGGATTTGAAACATATATACAGAAATAATATTACCAACGAACCAAGAATTCTTGGTGGAGTTTTGTTCTCTGAGCTCCACAAACAAACCATCTAGCTCAGAGAACAAAATTCCATCAAAATCATCCACGTGAGCTACAAATCTTCTCCACCATCTCAAAACCAAGAATTCAGAATTTCGATAAACCATATATATGCAAATAAACATAAACCCACCTGCCTATCCTCACGATAATCTTTAGTGATTTGAATTTCTGAAGGTCCTCGCGCGTTAAAGAAATGGTATGCCACATTAAAGCCCCAACAGCTTCTTCAAGGACTTTACCATGAATTTCACTGGTGGATGAAGCATCGCAGAAAGCAACTGTGGCCACATCTTTTAACAAGGGCATTTCAATAGTGCAGTCACGACCATCAAGCAATGCAACAAGTGGTTTCGCTGGTGGAGGTCCATTAGAAGAACGATGAAGTGACATTAGAAATCCTCAGTTAATTAGAGAAGTTATCAATCCAATATAATAATGCTTAAGCTAACAGTTAATTTAACAAATTAATGCGAGTAGGAGGACACGAGAACAGTGACGCAGCAGAATGACAGGCGAAGTGATATTTTCATTTTCAAGTAAATCTCTAGTTTGCCGAGGGTCTTTAACATATATGTTAATGAGCCATGTGGTCTACCCCCTATTTTGATTGTTCTGCCGCCTAAAAGCATTAGCAAATCGAAGTCACGCAAATTGTTAGGGTGTGTGAACATCTACCAGAGCAAAACTCAATTGGAGGTTTATGATTTCCACATCATTAGGAGAATATTGGTTAGTCATCTTACTATTTTAACACAAGTATACGGTTCTTGCTCTCCCCTCTTGTAGTGGTGTTGACCTTCCGAGTTATCGATTTTCATACCCAGAACAACCACAAAGCAATATTTATTGTTTGTTAGTCGCATTTCGGTCTAATGCGTTTATGGAGGTTAGTGATAACAAAATTTTAATGTTGTGTGTCTGCCCTCATCACTTGCATCACATGTATTTATTTTATATGCCCGGTATAAATGAGAGAGACGAAAATTAACACTAGGGTGATAATTATTATTTTTTACCTAATCGCATTATGTGACCTGAGATTGTTGTTTATTTAACACAGTTATTGATAAACAAGAACTTTTATTTGCAACTTAATGAAATATCTTAGTATACCAACCATATTCGAGGAGTAGAAAATTTTATAAGCCCGTAAACTCTGATTTTCATTAACAAGATAGATAAAACAGATGTATGAGGAGTCCCACAATAGGACGAAACGGCCGTCCAGTGCTTCCAGGTTTCCAACGGTGGTATAACATCAATCGTTCATGATCTCAATCAAAAACTAAATAAAAAAGATTGGTTCAGCGAATAGTTCTCTTTTCGGCGAATTCATTTTTAAAGCTGTACACGCGGAAATATATACTTATTTTTCAGGATGATGATTATAATAATAATGATAATAAACTTCTGTTAGACATAGTAACAGTAAGGTAGAATAAACAAAGATATCCGAAATTCCTTTTTTTAAGCCGGGAAACTAATAATAGTTTGATTGTCAAGGGCTTAAATATTCATCATAATGATAGATAGGGAAACCATTATTGGGAAAGGATGGCTCAGCATGATAAGGTTGTACAGCTTTGAAAATGAATTCGCCGAAAAGATAACTCTTCGCTGAACCCATCTTTCTTATTTAATGTCTCAATGGGTGTATTCCGTTTATTAAATGTATAAATCACTACTTAATTTAAATTTGACATCAACAACTAACATCACCTGAAGAACTCCTAGAATGCAAGTATTGGTGAACAATCGCCCCATTTAATTACCGATCGTTTCAAAATGTGTTTTGCACTAATTTGAAACAAACAACAGTTCCTTCTTAGTTCTAAATCTTTCTCCTGGTGATGGATACATACATACTTACTTTGTTCGCTTTCTAGTCCACAATATGATGGAGGAAACTCATAATCTATCTTTATTCCATGCTCAAAAATATTTGTTCATCAGTTTTATCAACAAAGTATCACGATACATTTGACCCAGTGGTTCATGACAAACTATTATTCAGTGTGATTAAAATGATTTGCGTTAAGTAATTTGATCACAACAGAACAATTGAGGAATGACACGCATGTATTAATTTTTTTATCGTTAGTGTATAACGTTTAACTGAATCAATTAATCATCAAACAAACAAAAGCACTCAAACGGAATTCAGTGCCCAGGTGTTTATCTTAGTTATAGAAAAAAACAACTAACCATCTCAATACTATTGTAGAGTATTCCTGTTTATATCTTTTATCACTACATTTTAAGAAACTTGACAGTATTTTAATGGTAACTACAATATGACATATTTTGTGGATTTAAACAGTTGGATTATTATTTATGTACAGTTAACTGAAAAAAAATATAATTTTCAATTTAATATTAATCCTTCACTGTTTTTTGTTGTAATATACACTAAGTATTTTTATAAGCATGCTACAATGCAGTTTGTTTTACTTCCATTACTTATACAAGGAAGTGAATTGATCAATTCGTAAGATCCCTAATATTTGACTAACTATGACAATTAGAAGTATTCGAAATAATGTACTAACTAAGAATTCTTAAAATAGTGCAATTTAAGTTAGGTAGAACTCAATGAGCACAAATGAATGCATTATACTTGGAATTCGTAATCAGAGGGCAATCAAGCACAAAGGAATCATTAGTTCGTACAAATACCGCATTAACCCAATAAGTAAATTGATTTATTTGAGCATTGAATAGATGGAGAGAGAAAGAAGAGAGGTTATTGAGGTACTTCCTGTTCATTTCAATTGATAGTGTCCATTAAAAACTGACCATCAAACAATTACTGAAAATTAAGAAGCACTGAACAGTTGTTTTCTTCTAGTATAGGACTCTCCAGCAGTGGGCATACATGACTTTGCAGAGAATCAAACTTAGGACCATTTAAGTATTGCGACGAACAATTAACGTTTTAGACAGTTGAATCAGTATCCAATGATTAACACTTATAGCTTCAATTAATACTCGAGGTGGCTCAATCATCGTTCAGTGCCGTTGCTGGGTAACAATTACACATCGGACATTATTGAACTCTCATTTGATTTCAATATTTAACATTAATTTATTGATTTAACAAAGTAGTATTCCCGCCCTAATACTGGTGTTAACATAAACTATTATGTAAATCCAAGTTATGAATTTCTCGTATTGATTGGTGCTTTTTGCCTACTTATCAGTTCAGATAACCTAACATAAGCTTGAGAGTCACTGAAAACATGGAAGCTTTGTATAAGTGTTGCATACAACTTTCGGGAATGGAAAATAACTTACACTGACAACCAAACTAGGATATGAGCCAAGACATATAAGCCTTACAACAAGAATGATGCCCTCTGAGCGGTGATTCTGAATTCCTTGGTCCACATATTCGTCTGATTTTTAGACAATATAACTATATTTTTACCCAGCGTCATAGGTAATTCACTTGTAGTTGCTTGGTTTCGAGATAATTCCTTAGGCTTCGTTTATCAATCACCCTGATAATGGTTATTAAATAAATCTCAACAGTGTTTGAATTCACATAGCAACAGAAAGCGGTGACTACAGTTTATTATTGCATAGCACATATGACAAAGTTACAAGCACAACGAACGAATTTGAGCATAAAGGTCAATGCACTCAAGTAAGTAATACGTAGGCGGATTCAGAGTCAAACTGAATAAAGGCGAATCGAAGCAAGGCAATAATAAGATTCAAGCATATCTATGTATAGGCGATCAACATTTAAGTTGGAGAGAGATATGTGATCAACATATACGTTTATATAAACATAATAGTGATCATAATAATACAAAGAAATAGACAAATTATTACTATTCGAATAACACTGTTTGTTAAATGTGTTAATTAAAGGGCTTGACAAAATTAATTGTGGGAGGGTTGCTATACTCATCCTGATGTGGTTAACTCAAATCGTTCAAAATCAGTCAATTGTAAGTAGTCAGTGTACTTTCTAGTTAAGGTCAATCCATGATAAAAACAAATTTATGACTGCATAACAAGGGTTATAAATTAATAAAATAAAATTTTTGTTATAACTAGGTTATTTGACCTCAGATTTTTTAACAGTTAGGTTTCTACTATCATACAACTTCTATTTTCTGGTTAGACCCATCTTGAATCCTTTCTGTACAGTTAATAAAACTTCTGGTAGAAAGTGACGCACTTTTATTCAGTTTTTCCATTCTTTGTATTCAAGGTACTGTACGTAAACTCCTTTCAGAACATAGACATATAGTTTTTTAAATGTATCTGAGGTAAATCTTCACACATCATCCTTTAATTCATAAATAATTGTAAATTGTTGCTTGTTTCTCACAACAAAATTTGTCTTGCTTCTTATCATTTTTACATTTTTTTTTCCACAGAATTTTTGTGAATAGAAATAACCAATATTAAAATTCACCGGCAATTACTATGTCTAAATTTAAAAATTAAGTCTCGGAAAATTAATCACAAGAAAAAAACCTATGATCGATTAGTACTTTTGACTAATAGAAAGCACAGTACTCAGACTATGTATAAACGTAAAACAATATTTGAGTGTGTTTTGAATGAGATATTAATAGTCTCAATGTATAAAGGTAAATATTAATACACATGGGGTGGAAATACCGTCATGGTTGTTCGCCTTCCACCACACTTACGTTTAAAAAGATGTTTGACAGATGGATTTCTTATTGCTATGATCAAAAAGACACCTTTTTTACAATATTCTATTGATCACGTTTCCGTATCACTTGTGATGCTGGAGAGAGGATATCCTTCCACTCTTTGAAATGAACCATTTTAACTAATATACATTCCTAAAATTTAAAGTGTTGGAGATCATTTAGTTTGTAGATTCCTTAAAGCATTTAAAGCCAAGAAACGTCGGACAATTCTTACTGTCCTAGTATAAAAAACGAAGCATTGTTCATCAAAGACTTCACTTACAGTCAAACCAAGGACATTCGAGATTCTTGACATATAAGTTACCATTAGGCCACCGAGTTTGGGATTCTATAGTTAGCATATTGAAGTTCAGTCAATTATCAGTGTTCCACAACTGTCATATATGCCAATATTGATTATTAAATGTCAAAAAAGTTACTGACAAAGTAATCTGACAATTACACATTAACAACGCCCAAATAATTTCTCCTCAAATACTCCCAAATAAGTAATAAACTGCTTATTTTGTTTATCAAACATTTAAAATTACTGTTTCGTTTGTTTGTTTATTATTTCATAGTTCATTAACTCATATCATTTGGTATTGTTAATTTTTAATCGGTCAACTCATATTCAGTGAACAACTTCACGTTTGGTCAGTCCTTAATGCTGATCAAATTCCATCGATTGAGTTGAAATGTGGCTAGACTGTG